GCTCACGACACCTCACCAAAAGAGAGGACTCTCAAGTTGGATTCACTTCCTCACGGTAAGAAGAGATTGAGAGAGTAGACAAGGTAAGGGAACAACGTACCTGGAGATAGCTGCCCCCAACCACAGATTTCTCACCAATTGAGCTGAATGTGCATTTGATGACCGGTCTTGACCTCGGTACCACCCACAACGCAATGTAGTGCCACCTTAGCCAAATGCAACATCAACATGCTCTCATCACCAATCATACATTCCGCATGTATCCACGGCATACACTGCCGTCTTAGCCTTCCGGTGCACCCCTCTCTACCCAAGGCGTGCACCTATAGTGGCCTGACGTCACAAGTACCCACTGCGAAGAAGCATCGTCAACGCACCAAGTCTGTACAACGCCAGCGTGCCAAAGGTAAGTGACGATCAAACCAGCTCCGATACCAAATTGCAAGGAACATGAGTATGGACGAAGCACAGAAATCCAGAATGCAAAATCACACTGAAGTCCAAGTATTCAAAGCCAAACCAGATAGCATTGGAACCAGAGTAACCATCCAATTGAGAATGATACAGAAGAATCGTGAGTCAATGTCCACGCCCAACAGGGCAACACCAACAACATAACCCAATGTAGCTCTCTTGTGAATGGCGCCAGGCGCCCTATCTACTCTAAAGCCTATCCTACAACTACAGCAATGAAAAGCAACCAGACAACTTGACTACCAGCGAGTGATGATGTCAACACCAATGCCGACCTCCACCTTCACCAGGTACGTGTCCTCTTCCCCACACTCTCCCTTGTTACCCACACAGCGCCCTTCACCTCCGAAGTACCACCTTCGCCCTCACCTACCCTGCACCCTCATGCGGCCCGGCTATGGCCGCCAGTGCCTTGCATGCAGGCAGCGCCCTACCGCCTAGCGCTGGCCTGCTTGCTCTTAGCGCAGCACTGCTTTGCACAGCGCAGCACACATGCATCCGCGCAGCGTGCCCGCAAGTGCCAGCATTGGCCAAGATCCCTGCTGCCTCGCCCTGCTTGCCTGTATGCCAATACAGCGTATGGACGGCCTCCCTTCAGCCTGTGACCGGGGCCCAGAGGCTGAAGCCAACCCGATACAGTTGGGCCCCGGGGCAATGCAGTTGCGCCTCCTTCATCAAGGCCTGCGGCCAGATTCAGACAGTGGGCCGATTTCCCTTTCACATTTTCGGCCTCTTTACCCAGTGTGCATTGTCGGCCTCACGTTCAAGTGCCCAGGGCCTAACTAACTCAAAGGCCCTGGGCATTTCAGCATTTGCTGAAATCCAAGACTCGGTACACTCCAACCAACTGGCGTGCTGCAACTGTATAGACCCCACTTCGTGAAATGTTGGCATAGAGGGCTCTTGTTGATTAGCTGGCCCGCCTTCACTTAGGGTGGGCACTAGGCTTGCTGGGGCCTTAGCCCACAACATGTACATCATGGCAAGGCCACTACTTGAGGGCTCAATCCTCACACTTCTTCTTCTTCTTCTTCTTGCTGTTCTAGTGCAGGTTGCCAGCGTGGAGCGCGGCTATGGCGCCCACGTATGTACCGCTGACGCAGGTATGGCCTCCGGCCCTCTTCTTCTTCTTCTTCTTCTTCCTCTCGATGTTGTTGTTGTTGTTGTTGTTGTTGTGCAGGTCGCCAGCGTGGAGCACGGCTATGGCGCCCAGGTAAGTACCGCTGACGCATGTACGGCCTCCGCCCCTCTTCTTCTTCTTCTTCTTCTTCTTCTTCTTCTTGCTGTTGTTGTGCAGGTCACCAGCGTGGAGCACGGCAATGGCGCCCAGGTAAATACCGCTGATGCAGGTATGGCCTCCGCCCCTCTTTTTCTTCTTCTTCTTCCTCTGGTTGTTGTTGTTGTTGTTGTGCAGGTCGCCAGCAATGAGCGCCCAGGTAAGTACCGCCTCCGCCTCTCTCCTTCTTCTTCTTCTTCTTCTTCTTCTTCTTCTTCTTCTTCTTGCTGTTGATGTGAAGGTCGCCAGCGTGGAGCACGGCTATGGCGCCCAGGTACCGATGACGCAGGTATGGCCTCCGCCCTTCTTCTTCTTCTTCCTCTTCCTCTCGTTGTTGTTGTTGTTGTTGTTGTTGTTGTTGTTGTTGTTGTTGTTGTTGTTGTTGTTGTTGTGGTTGTTGTTGTTATCGTTGTTGTTGTTGTTGTTGCTGTTGTTGTTGTTGTTGTTCTGCAGGTCGCCAGCGTGGAGCACGGATATGGCGCCCAGGTAAGTACCGCTGACGCAGGTATGGCCTCCGCCCCTTTTCTTCTTCTTCTTCCTCTTCTTCTTCTTCTTCTTTTTCTTCTTCTTCTTCTTCTTCTTGTGCAGGTCGCCAGCGTGGAGCGGAGCTATGGCGCCCAGGTAAGTACCACTGACGCAGGTATGGCCTCCACCCCTCGTGTTGTTGTTGTTGTTGTTGTTGTTGTTGTTGTTGTTGTTGTTGCTTGCTTGTTGTTGTTGTTGTGCAGGTCGCCAGCGTGGACCACGGCTATGGCGCCGAGGTAAGTACCGCTGACGCAGGTACAGCCTCCGCCCCTCTTCTTCTTCTTCTTCTTCTTCTTCTTCTTCTTCTTCCTCTTCTTCTTCTACTTCTTCTTCTTCTTCTTCTTCTTCTTCTTCTTCTTCTTCTTGTGGTTGTTGTTGTTGTTGTTTTTGCTGTTGTTTTTGTTGTTGTTTTTGTTGTTGTTGTTGTTGTTGTGCAGGTCGCCAGCGTTGAGCACGGCTATGGCGCCCAGGTAAGAACCACTGTCGCAGGTATGGCCTCCGGCCATCTTGTTGTTGTTGTTGTTGTTGTTGTTGTTGTTCCTGTTGTTGTTGTTGTTGTGCAGGTCCCCAGCGCGGAGCACAGCTACGGCTCGGCCTGGGTTCGAACAGGTCAAAATCTGTTCGAAAACAAAAGACAAGGTCCAAACGTTTTTAGGAGCTCAGCCTCTGGGCCTGAATCTGGCCCTGGCACTAGAAGCGTGTACCTGGCCACAAAACGGACAACAGTACACCCGTTAGAAAAACAACAGCAAATAAATAAAATAAAGAATATAAAAATAATCTAAAGCTGGCGTTTTTCTGATGTAGGCCCAAGAAAAAATGCCATAGGGCCTTCAGGTTGCGGTGACGCGACCTGGGGGCCCTATTCCAACCTCGGGTCC